CTATTCATTTCTTGATTTCAACCCCAGGTTTCTAATGCGTGATACATGTGTTTCACATTTAACAAAATGATTTGAAGAATCGTCTCAGGTAGTGGCTGGTTTTAATGGCGCTATCAACTACAATATTATAATAAATCAGGCAAAGAATTAAAATACAGAAGAAATCCGTTTTTACCATAAAGATAATTGAATTATGTTCCACATTGAGAATACAGGGAACTTGTATGTACCCTGTTATATTATCATGTCGACCATTTTTGTTTAACAATAGAGCATGTCGCAGAGGCAGCGGCAGCACGACATTTTGCATGAGGTGGCGATTCCTGAAATTTAGACCCACTGAAACGCTATTTCCTGCATTTTTAGGGGCATATTTTGTTGACACAAAGGGTTTCAGATCTACATTATTGTTAGTTATCTGTATCCATTATTCGAACACATTTTTGTGAGGTTATTTGAACACCAGCTCAAAGAATGGATCATGGTAGTTGTTTTAAACATCGATGACTTTCAAACCACTTTTCATTTCGAACATAACAATTGACTTCATTGAATCTGGACTAAATTCTGCCGATTTCAAGAAAAAATGGACTTTCAGAAAACACCTAATCCAATTTAGGCAAACTATTTTCGAGGAATATAAAAACCCGAATTTAGTTAACGGTCTTCATATACATCAAGACAGTCAAATAAGGTGTGTATGTATTTTGATAAATGCCTTCCAGAATTACCATATTTCTGACCCCCCAAGTATCTCATACATTATTGTATGAAGAGACAATTCCTTGTCCTTTCAGAAGCATGGAGAGCTTGAATGAAGAATACAGTAGCGTTTTGTTTATGATTGGTTATAGTGGCAAACACACAAAGATAGGTTTAATATGCACCAATGGTCGCCGGATTTGCGGATTAAAGAATAAATATAAACGGATTATGTTCCTATCTAGTGTGCAATCTGGCAAATGTTCGTCCTCCCTGTCAACAGAAGAATGAAAAGACACAACGTCATATTAGATTTTTTAGATTTTGTTTACGAATACGTAACAAAATCTCCTCGTTTAGGGACTGTGGCGGAATTTAACAATGATAAGTGTTTGAGGGCGCAGTAGTTGTTCCGTCAAAAAAAGCGCAGTAAGTCGCTGCAATCCCACAATTACATGTGCAAACATAACCACGTCGTCTGGGTATAGCATCACGAACAAACTAGGGATCAGCTGTACGCCACTATAACTTGCACTCAAAATGGCCTCATACAATGTGTCAATAAATACGGAGAGAATCTGACAAGAGATTTTTCCTGAACCATTATTTGAACTAATTTGGATTTATATCCTGGGGTTTATTTTCACAAACACAAGGGATATGTAGGTCCATGTCCATATATATAGTGATGCGTGGAAATCAACTGTAAGTTTAAGCAAAGCAAAACTAATGATCTTTAATAAGAGAAACCAAATTGTCAAACATAAAACTGTATTTTATAAATGAAATGAAAATGATGTGGTTGGAAGCTATACTTACTTGGGAATAGTATTTAGCAAATAGTATTGCAAAACTCCAAAAAATGAAAGAGTATGTAAATACTGTGCTAACAAGCAGGTTGAAGATAAGGTGCATTTTCCTGTGGACTGAAGTCTGTGCAATACACACAGAATTGAACTATTCAAGTACTGTAAGGAAATTATACAACATTTTAGCAAGTTAATTGAACTAGAAAAATTCAAAGCAATTATGAAATATTGTACAGAAATCAGAATTGCACAACACATACAAAATATATGCAAATGAGATATGAGCAGCTCCACCAAAAATTTAAAATATTCTTTCCACTGTCATATCGCTCGTACGGACACCCGTCGTGGACTTGGTCAGGATGCCCACGGGTGGCGCTTGTATTGAAACAATATCAAGCGTATCTTCACATTGCTATCTACAAGCGTGGTTTCTAAAACAATATCCGTGTCGCTTTTAGCAAGTATGTGTTATATGAGCAGCTGACAGAATATGACATCACTTATATAATCCGTAAAACATTATCACCTGCGACAAA